GCATAGTTTGGGAGTAGAAGTACCTAGTAATATCGAATATAATCCGAGTCCAGTCTTTAACATTTTCCGGCCCACCATCTCCTCAATTTTCTTTCGGTCATCATTACAGAGTCTCCAGCATCATAATGTTACTCGTCTCACCGACCGCCCGTTTCAAAATCAGCACCAGCTCATCCAAGGCCGCGAGCAATTGCACCAAGGAATTCAAAATAACCATGAAATTCCCCATTACTCCGCTGTCAACATTCTCTTTGCTCGGCAAGCTGCACGGAAGGTCGCTCGAGCGCCGGATTCCCTCCACGACCTGTTCTCGGGCATGGGCAACGGCCTTGGTGAACAATGGCGTGGGTAATACTGCTGGTAGAGGGTCGCCGCTCTTGAGTGCCTGTTGAACGATAGAGAGCACACCCATTAGCTCGGTGATGAGACCCTCGTTCATGGCGCCCGCGGCTGGGATGATTCTCGTTCTTTCGCCCTCGGAGAGCCGGGACGTATATTGCAGCAGCAGTGTGATATTGTGGTTAAGGATCATGCATTGGTTGCAAACCAAGACTAGCGTTCTCGTGTCGAAATTAGAGGATGAGAATTCAAATATCGTTAGCTTTATAGGTCCTGAGATTGTTAGGAGGATCTCGCCAATTGCTAAAGCCTCCTCTTCAGCTACTTGGCGCAGATCAGGAGCAGGATCTTTCCAACTGGACGCGAAGAGAGCATATCGGTCCCCAATGCCAACGAGAATATCGGAGAGCAGGTGTCGGTAATGGCGATTCGCAGACGGTGGTTTTGGTACGAAATTTACAATAAGAGCACCTGCAATGCCGACAAGTACGGTGATAACACGCCGCCAGAAGACTGCGTAGCCCACGCCGGGAGTGCCGTATTGCGGGATCTGTGTATCGCTCCAACTGTAGCCAGCGACAAGGAACGCCGTCGCACCCATCATAATTGCTGCAGGCATTACAGCAGGAGAAGTAAATAGACGCCACCACATCATTAGGACAATAGCAGGCGCGAAGATGGCGGCGAGGCCGTACGGATTCCCAGGGCCGTTGCCAGCGCCTATATACCATACCACCATCCCAATAACACCGCCAACAATGGTGCCAAAGACTCGTATGAGGCTCCCAAAGACTAGTTCGGCTGTGTATGGAACCAAAGTCAACTGAGCCATGATGACCGCCCACAGGCCTCTATTGCGGTAGAAGAAGCCTGCGGAAGACATAACAACAGCAGGGACCGAAAGGCCAATAGTGACCACAACCATGCGCAAAGCAAACATGCCTTCTTCATTTCCAAGCCAATTAGTAATAGCCAGAACAATTCTACCCCCCGGGCTTCTCTTGCGGCCATTGGGTGCCCGTATACTAACCAATTCAGCGCGTGCTGATTTTGGTTTAGGATTCGTGGTCCCAGATTTAGCCTGAAAATTGGACCGCAGTGGGGTAACCGTCGAGATACGCGTAAGACCGTCGCCGAGGTCTGCAGCCGTCACTCCGTCCTCTGGAGAGTCTTCATGGCCGATCCATCGGAGGAGTGCTATCAGCCGACTTGGGAACCAGACCCGAATCTTGGTTCTCATCCCCTCTAGTTCCACAATTTGGGTGAGTACTTGAGCTATGGCATCTGCCAGCCGGTATAAGCGCTCCTGGAGAAGAATCCCCAGCATGAGGCCGGTAAACGATGAGACAATTCCAGTTTCTCCCCCTAAAAGTCCATCGTCGTCAAAAACTTTCCGAGAAATCTCAGGAAGGGATCGCGAAGTGGAAGCCATGAAGATGTCGCGCTGCTCGCAGAGCTTGGAGAGCACAGCAGCGTGCTTCTGATGCATGTCTAACCGGCCAGGGTTCTTTCGAAGGGCCTGAGCCTGGATCAATGCCTCGCTGATGGTTTGGAGAGATTCTTTGCATGCCTCAATCAGGTGCTCGCCTGGATTCACCAATGACTGGATACTTTCCTTGATCAGAACGTTTCTGCTAGGGTAGTTGGACCTAACGTGGAAATCAACCGCTCGATCAATCTGATGTTGCCCAAGCTCGACCGTCCGCTGGTCGCTATTACTCTCGCCATTGCTAGCGCGTGTGCGGTTTAATGCATCGATGCTCTTTTCCTTTCGCACCTGGTTTTGTTTGTAGAGTTCTGTTAGGGCGATGAAATTCATAGTGAGCCGACGAAAGGGTTCATTTAATGTCGATAGGTCATCTGAGCCCCATCTTCCGACAGATAAATCAATCGGCAGGAATCTGAAAAGAGGACCCAGGAGTTTGTAGGTCGAAAGCACTTTGGTTTGCAGTCCGGTCAACTTGGCCTCGCTCATATCTAGGGCTGGATGCTTGAGGCCGAGAACACAGGCATCTAAGAATTCGGGCATCAGAGCAAGGACATCCCGCATACCATCGAGTGCTTCCGATGTGGAGGACGTAGGGCAAAAGAGGATATTGCAGACGAGGCCAATGCCGGCAGCGATGGAGCAGGGAATGACGATAACCTTTGCAACAGTTCCATCGAAGGTTGGCAAAAGTGGTGCGCCATTGAGATAAACGACAGTAACAATTGAGGCCACCACTTGCACGAGTATGAGTTTGGGGAATGCAACGCGAAGCCGGGCCTGAAATTGTTCATTTATTCAATGACTTCACTTAATACGGACAGGCAGGGAGGGTCATGAAACTTACCATAAAGTAGACGAACAATCCCATCATGCAAAAATACGTGATGGTCACATTCGTATCCAACATGTATCCATTGAGAATCTGGACCTCTACATATTGTAGTGGATTTGTGGTGTTTGCCGCCTCTTGCTGAAGCGTGGCGAATCGAGCCTGCTTCTCAGCTTGTGGCCAAGTCGCAACCGCAGCTTTCATGGTGATGACACCCCAGGCCCAACAAAGCGCGCAGCCAAGCAGGATGGAAATAGTTATTATCAGCTGAGTAAATACTATGCCAGCCGGAGGAGCAATAAATAAGATGATGCTGGATGAAGTGAGTGAAATCCTTAACGAGAAGCATTGGGAGCCTACCATCCAAGAAATGTTGCTCGACCTATCGCTATCAGAGTTGGTTCAATGAGCATTAGAAGAGTCATAAGCCAGACAGCCAGAGAGCATTTGAATAGCCTCTTTATGTCTTTCGCATTGAAATGGTCGAGCCATGGTGGGAGCTTTTTGCTCGTCGACCAAGGCTTTGTTGCGTCGACGAAGTACGGATTGTAAATGCCATCCGGAGTGCCACCTTCGGTATCGGTCTGCAGCGGTTGCACCATCCTTTCATCGAGTTTCAACTCGGGCGACTCTTCTCGGTCGGAGCCGAAGATGATTGAAGACGATGGATGACCTTTTGATCTTGGATCCTGCCCGCAGGCGAAATTTCTTTAAATAAAGACGCCAAAGGATTCGATATTAATTTCGTAATAGTATTGACGGGATTGGGGTTTCTTAAACACAAGGAGCGCTGAAAGTATCAAACGAAGGGGCTTAGGGACCAGGCGCCATTCTAAGTGTTGAATGGATGCGTCACAGGTCCCTTGTCTCTCCCCCGACAGTGCAGGGATGCGAAGACTACCTCTTTCCCATTGACCCGTAACATAGGATACCTCGTTGCATCAGGCATGTCGTATTAATTGGCCTTCTTCAGCCCTATCGCATCAAAGCTGCCGCTCTAGCCGACCCAATGCTACACTGAACATACACGTACAGTCCCCTTGGACTTCTTGGTGCTAAAATGAGCTTGTATATAACTGATTGACGATGGGGATATATGCCCTGTCAAGCATAAGTGATCTGCATTCATTCAGGGCGTGAACCACCGAGCAATTCCTATCACTGGATTTACTGTACGCACACAGTACTGAATGCGCTACCTGTAGCATGCGTGCCCCTCCATTAGCCGAAACGACAGACTCGCGCCATATGTATGGCAGCTTTATCTCCGGCATGGCACCTTTTAAGTTTTGGAGAGGCATTGCAAAAATGATGGGGTTAACGCCGTGACGAAGTGCTAGTTATTCTCTACGGCATTCCCCGGCTCGCTGCTAATTACAGTACTGTACATCGAAATTTCTATGCATCTAGGGAGGAGTTGCAGTACAAAGACCCCAGCTAGCTCTCCTCGCTAGAAGCCGTCCTCAGTAGCTCGATTCAATTATCTTCTTCTGGCCACACCTACGGTTGCACCCCTTGACCCACCATCTTCTGAGAAGAATCCTCCAAGCACCCCTCATCGTAGCCCCATTATACTGTAACAAGCAGCACTTTCTACCGAGCTTGCTACAGTAGTAACAATCCGTACTAAGGTCTCCTTACCGACAGAAGATTTGCCAAACTCCCAAATACTATGTAAGGTTTAACTGAACCCCACTCAACGACTAGCCTCTCTCCTTCGATGACGAACTTCTTACATCACCGTCTCTGCCTTATAAACGAACGAGAGCCTAACTACCACCATATTGCCAAAATCCAGTAAACCCTTGAACTTGGATGATAACTAAATCACTCACTAGAGCAGAAATTGAATTCATCACAATTCCATAGCGACGGGTTCAGTGCACAGAAACCGTCGCCTTCAATGCAGAAACTCATTCGAGATCCATGTATGCAAGTAGTGGCTGTCACACTTCGAGCTTCGCTTTTTAAAACTTCCCCAATCCCCCCGTTGCTAGGCGTTGTGTACCTAGCCCATCATATCACATCACATTCCCATACCGATCAATTCACATTTGCTCATCAGCGCCCACCATCCTACATATGTTACCTGCCCAAGTCTAGCCAGTAGGTCGTAGGTAGCATCAGAGCAAGCACCGCCACAATGCGCTCCCGACAAGCTTCCAATTACGGAACCGAGACCGAAACCGAACCGTTCCCACCCATCGAAGATGCATCGCCGCGCACTAACAATACAGCCTCTTCATCGCGCGTCGAGAATCGTCCAGCCGCCTCATCATCGCTGAGCGGTCGACTTCGCCGCGTCTCCGCAAGCTTCGAAGTGTCTAACCCCCCGAGGGCTTCATGGCCGCAACAGGAACCATCTGTTCATCCATCTTCACACGCCAAGTTGTGCCGCCTACTTCCTCGAATTCTTTAGTCCTGATGCAACAAAGCCCCGATGCTGGAGGTCCTTCGAGACAGAGCACCTTTCCTGCCGATAGCGATGAGGTGCCTCCTGAAGAAAAAGATCGCCCGAGCGGGGCATTGGCGAGCCGGGCTCTCACGGGAGAACCAGCTACTGCTGCTCCTTTTGCTAATGGATACCATTTCCCCCCTAAGCACTCCGCTTGGCAATCAACAATGTCTGGCTGTATCGCCTTCTGGAACTATTTCTTGACGCCTCTTGGCTTTTGCGTTACCATCTATGGTATGAATGTTGTTGCTTGGGGAGGTATGCTCTTCCTGCTCCTCTGGTAAGGCGACGCCTCTTTAGCCATCATAGTACAAGAATTCTGCTGACTCTATCGCAGCAATGCCTCCCCTGCCATGTGCCACCCCTCTTGCAATGATATCAACTCGCCCAGGCGAAAATGGATTGAATGGGACTCGCAGATCCTCAACGCTCTCTTCTGCGTCACAGGTTTTGGGCTTGCTCCCTGGCGATTCCGCGACCTTTGGTTCCTATTTCAATACCAAATACAAGGGAAGGAGATCTCCCTCCGGCGGCTGGGTGGAATTCACCGAGGCTGGTTCCGACTCCCCGGCTCCGCAGAGCTCGACCCTCAGATAGGGCCGGAAAATGTGTCAAGCTCACCTCACCTCGGATCATCTATGGCCTGTCCATACCCCAAGGATAAGATTCCCGACGTCCCCCTGACCGGTCAACGCGCACCGGCCACGCCAATTTGGAAGATGGGCGCCGTAATCTGGCTGATGGTCTGGAATACCTTCTTTCAGTGTTGTCTCGCCGGCTTCATGTGGGGAATGAACAGATATAATCGGCCCAGCTGGGCGACCGGTCTCTTTGTCGGCCTCGCGTGTGTGGTTGCCGCTGTCGGGGGAATCATTATATTCGCTGAAGGAAAGAAGGTCAAGGGCATCGAGGGAGTTCCCATCAGCGATAAGGATATCCAGCAGCTTCAAGAGGACCGAGAGAAGGGCATTTGGCATTTTAATAACATCAAGGACAAGGATTTAAAGGAAGATGGAAAAAAGAAGAAGGTAGCTAAAAAATGAGGGTTGTTTTAGGAAACGCAATTTTGGAACTACTTTAGCGCAAGGATGAATGTCTTATTAAACTAAATAACTTACACACATCCTCTCAATTCATTCTTTAAAAATTAGGCAAGCGTTACAGCCATTTATTTGATTTATTTGATAAGATTCGCTCTGATCACATACCCTTTTCATAGTTACTTAATCTTGAACATTCGTTCGTGGTCCTTTACTTGCTGCTCCTCATGGCGTTTCCAACACCACTTGAGTGCCCGATGTATAGGGCAAAAAAAGTCTTGCCTACAGAATAGATAGAAGACTACTTTTAATTAGGGGAGGGAAGCAATTAATCAGCAGGACATGAATATGCAGATAATTGACTAAATGGTCGAGGAATCGTGGTTGAGGAGAGTCGTCGCTATTGAGTGAAAGGCTCTATCCCTTCAATTGTCGAGGAGCTCCGGCGAGTACCCCGCCCCACACCACCCCTATCAACGAGGAGGTACATGAGGGGAACCATACAAATGCGTCATTAAGCAACACCACCTAAATTCTCATATAAACCATTCTCAATAAGATAATACCTTCCCAATCGATACCTTTATCACTACCTATAGAGGCAGTTAACGCGTATGATGGCAATAGCTTTATTAATGAAGATAATATCTACCAAGAGTATAAGGGTGATAGCACCCGGAGACCGGCTTTTCCGGCTACTGACGACCGAGGCTTCGCTACGCTCAGACTGTATCCCACAATCCTACCAACATAAACCACCTTTACGGACTAGTTTATCCCTTGGGAAACCTACCTGTCACATGGGCGGGCTGTTCCACCACTACTGTAGCCGTGCTAACATAGAAAGAGGAAGAGGTCCAGCGACAAAATAAGGTTATTTATAAAGGCATAATATATCAATTTTGGAAGTAAGTTTATAAGGGCAATACCAATACTCTAAGTTGAGTTTAACGCGATGATCTTATCCCTGCTGCCTATGACTTCACACATTCGATGGGAAAGTTACTTAGAAACTAAAGCATTCCACCTCCGCACAGCCTCTTGCCTCTCCTCTACGGGAGCCTCCCGCCAGTCATTAATACCCTGTCTCAGCCGAATCAACAGAACCTCTGTTTTTAGCTTCGTAAGGTGATGCTTCGCTAGTTCTTTCTCGATGCCCTTAAGTGTATAACCCGGCAGCCCAAAGATTGCTTTGCTGTGTCAGCTGCTCGTCTGTTCTAGTGCCGGCTTTGCGCAACTGCAATGATCGTTGCCCAAGATGGAAGAATTATAGAAAATACTCACCGGAGCCCAAATTACTGATGAACCCTAGACCACCGCGCAACATACCCTTACCTAAGCCCCTTGCGCCTCGTTGCTTAGTATCGTTATAAGGCTTTGTAACGAGTCCACTGAAGGCTTCCCAAATCCCTAACGTGAACTCCTTCCCAGCTGTCTTAAGTCCGCTTCCAAGTCCCGTGATCTCATCGCGCCGTCGCACCTCTATGCCAGCAAACCCATGTGATGGGGCGTTGTGAAACCCGTTGGCGACGTTATAAATGAGTGCCACGGGAGCTTTGGCGCCGGCCTTGGCCAAGTCGCATGCATATCTTCCGGTGGCACGGGTGACGTAGTAAGCACGGCCGTTTTTGCCTTCTTCGTGAGCTCGCCACGAGGCCTTGTGCCTGTTGCGGATAGAGGGTGCTATGTTGGAGGCCGCTATAGCTGGATCAGCGTTACGAAGTGACTTAGTAGCCAACTTTATTGCGATGTTCTCCATCTCCATAGGCGTTAGGGCAGCCGGTCCGATGAAAGGTCTCAAGATGCCTTCATGAGCTGGATGTTCTTCTGTAGGAGTGAAGTGTCTTTTTGATCTCAAGCGTCTCGTGGACGGCCTTGATGGAGTCGGATTTTTCAACCGTTGCAAGTAGTCAGACGTTGCGGTACCCACGACGGCGAGAAAGCCCGAGGCTGCAGCTATGACACCGGTGATGGGCTCCTCGGCGCCTTCATCGACATACCAGTGCTTATGGCGAAGTAACTTGAGGTCTGATGGTTGAATCAACCCTTGGTCAACAAGGCAGGAAGTCGTGAAACCGCTGAGATGGGCTCCCGTTTTCCTGTGAAGCCAGGTTGCCAGCCTCTCAGGGCAGATATCGCAGCGCAGCTTGTCCACTTCCAAGCGATCAGTGATATCCATAGCCGCTTGGACCGCTCCATTCTCTTCTGCAATATGCCCTGCCATCTCTTGTGCTACCTCCTGAACTTCTGGTTGCAGAGCAAAGGTGATACTATCTGCTAGAATCTCCGCTGTCAACTCCTTGAACGGTACGGATGTCGGACCGGCACCAGCCCTTGCCACCATTTGACTCCAGAAAGGTTGGTCGCCGAAAAAAGGAATTATTACTGTCGGTCGACCAGCGGCGATGCCAGCTGCCGTCGTACCTGCACCGCCATGGTGTACAACCACGGAAACGCGCTGAAAAAGCCAGTCATGTGGGCAATTGCCGATCAGATACACACCGTCAGGGACGTCACCTCCCACACCAACACCGCCCCAGCCTTTTGACACGATGGCACGAACACCGGCAATCTTGATGGCCTGAAAAATGAGTTGAGTGAGAGCTCGCGGATCGTCCACAACAATAGAGCCGAATCCAACATAGATTGGAATTGGCCCATTCTCGAGAAATTCGACCAAGTCTGGAGGAGGCGTGTGCGAATGTGCGAGGGGTAGAAAGGAAAACCCTGTGATGTTGAGATGAGAAGGCCAGTCGGATGGCTTGGGTAGCAGAGACTCAGACCAGAGGTAACTATATGGGACTTGTAGCCTCGAGAGCAGCTGATAGCCCCACATTGGGCTGACCGGGTCGAGGTGTAGCGTTTGGGTGCGAAACTTGTTGATCAAGTCTCCGAGGCTGAGATAGAGTTAGCGGTCCACATCTCTGATTGTTTCGCGCCATACTTGCCCTTGCCAAGTCAGCAACTCTGTCATCATGAAAGAGAGGTAGTTGGCCACTCTTGCATCAGCATCTCCGTAACTCATCGCAGCCAAGGGATGAGGGAATGCTTTCGTTGGTGACCAAGGCATGGTGAAGACCATATGTAGCGGAAGGCTCAACTTCTCCGCGCAGTGAATGTGAGCCATGGATGGCGGATTAGCTATGATAATATCTGCGATGAAAAGATCCTCCGCACATTGGACATTAGCCGCCGTCACTCGCTCTCCCATTCCATCACCAGCTTCGATACAGCTCCGCCAGGCGCCATTCATAATCTCCACCATCTCTCGTCTCCTCTTGCCCACGTCCCCTCCTTTAAAGCTTTCCCGGCTAGGGATTAAGCCAGGGTTCTTGACCATGTAGGCCATGAGAGCTTCTGGATCGCCGCCAATGCTGAAGAACTCGACGCCTTGGGCCTCGACAAAATCCTTAAAGACGGGGTGGGTGCAGATTCTGACGCGATGGCTGTGCGGTGGCTTCATGAGTATTTGAGCGATGGGAATGAACGGCTGGACGTCGCCTCTTGACCCAATGATATGGATGGCGATGTTAAGGCGCGGGCCGCAGGTTGGCTTCTCGACGTCTGGGAGAAACGCGATGCTGTTCGTCCTTCGCGGCTTCGAAGGCTCCAAATGTTCGACGCCTGGCAGCTCGCCGGCAAAGGACCCCTGGAATCGGTCGCACCATGTCGCCAGCGCCTGCGGGTTGTCGTGGAACTGGACCCGTACGCGTCCGTCGCTTATGACGTCGCTCGATGGCCCGTTGCCGATCTTCGCGTCGTCAATCGCGACATGGCCCGGCCCGTGAGATTTGATGCGGTTGAGCGCCATGGTGAAGCGCCCACAATTGAGTAGACTCGGCCAGCATTGACTCTCAGCTGGCGCACCTCTGCTCCGACTCGACCGTCTAAGTGATGGTTATCGGATTGCGTTGGGCGTCGGCGTCGGCATTGTCGTTAGCGCGAGCCCAGAGATATAGACACGTGCAGCAGAGCCTTCCTGGATTAATAATGCGGAGCTGACCCCGCCGATAGCTCCATTTTCACATGAAATCATCCTAAGGTATGTGGTGGTGATACTGTAGTTTTAGTGCTGATCCGTCCAATCTAAGAAACTCAATAAGAACAGTTGACTAGCTTAAGCTAACTTGTCACATCGCACCACTAAGGCTGCTCTAGCAAACGGGCTGTCCGACCAATAGGATCAAAAGTGAATGAAACAGATGGTAAGGAAAACCCCGTCACAGCCGACGAATACGACCCGAGCTAAGGAAACTTAAAAACAGTACACTTCATTCATTCATTTAGTTAGAAACCAAGAATGTACAGGCCGCAAGGGTCTTCATGTTATTTTTTGTACGTACAAGTCACATCAGTCTTCTTACAGGCTGAACAATGATATCTTGGAAGCTAATTAGGGTACTAAACACCAGATAGTAGGAGACTTATGTGTGTATACAATACCTATGATACAGTGAGTACCCAGTAAGTAAAGAAAATAACATTACAGATCCCTGCGGCCTGTACCCATGTTGTGACTACCTTGGAGGCTTGTGCTGCCTTAAGGGTTATGTAAAGACATCAGGCCGCGTAGTTAATGTCCAACTTCTGTATCAGGGAAGTTAACATCAAGTCTTCAGCCAAGCTCGTCTCATTACGCTGTTGACATGGGAAGCAGGCAGCTATCAACTCTACGATACGATTGCCCTACGACATGGACATTTGGAGAGTACTAAGAAATCTGGATAAGAAAATGACTGTGCATGGCTGCCAGAGCCTCGTGATGGACCATCTTACTTGTAGAGGACTCTAGATCGTCGGATTCCCCGAGGGAGAGGCCCTCACAAACATCAAGAGTTGCAGATAGACAGAGGCTAAAACCTCAAAACCGTGATTAATCCCGTAGAACAACAAAAGCTGTCACCAGGTATACATGTCTTTATGAATTTTGGTGTCGGAAAGAACGGTCGCCAGATAATTGCTTCTAGGGTTGGCAAGATTTTCGAACATTTACAGGTAGCGTCCGGTGATAAGGCAGTGCAAATTTACCAAGAGTTTGACTGATATCACCGCTCGATGAGTGTTCAAGAACCGTTGTAAGTGAGATAAATTCCTAAGAACAAGGATTTCGTCGGTATTATCCCCTCATCTCGTCCCTTTGCACTTTACAGTACTCCTTTCCCCCGAAGTCACGGACGGCGATTTATAGAAATCCAGAGCACAACGAAGCCACAAACCTAAAATCTGGGCTTGGTGTTGCAGTCGGCTGCTTGTGGCGCGAAATTACCTTTGTTCTAGGCTCCTTTCCTTTTCTTTGCTCTGTCACTCTCTCCCCACGCAGGGGACGGTGCCTAAAACCTGATCACTAATCCATATAAGCACCGCAACCGTGGCCCATCGACTAACATAATCTAGTGCCAGCTTATACCAGAAGTACCACAGTGCCGTCTCAAAATATTCTATTGCCAGTCATAAAATGCATCTGTGTTTATATTGTAACTGCTTCTCGGATAACGTTATTAATCTCGCCGACCGCTTCACTTTATGCTTAGTCTTTCCTCCTTCTGCTGATTAATCCCATCGACCTCCTTCATATTAATACACATTACTCTGCCTTGTCTGCTTAGTCTCATCGACTCTCACTTATATGCACTTTCATAATACCTGATATATATAACCCAAACGTTCCTTGACTGGATGATATTACGATCTGTCCGCCCTCTCCTCCCACCGAGGACAAAAAGTCGAAACTTTCTAGGAAAGTTCCTTAAGTATGAAGTCAGTCATGCATCGCACCTCAAAACGTGCCGACTCCTGTGCTGCCACTATTCAACACTATCGTCATGCTCTTCGCACTGTGGGTATAGACGGCCGAGATAAGCGTGTCTGGAAGGCTTGCGAAAGATGTCGAATGAAAAAGACCAAGGTATATCCTCGTTCTAAATCAGGCTCTAACCCTCGTCACTGGCATGGAAAAGTGTGATGGTGAGTTTCCCTGTAAGCGATGCAAAGACGATGGTTTGGTCTGCACTGCAGCCATTAGAAGGAAGATGAAGTAAAAGCAGCTGCATATGTAACTTGCACCAAAGCTAGATACGCCGAGGTCCTCGACAACACCCAATTTGCTTTCATCGCTACCATCCACAAGCTCTACTCGATGGTCGTAAATAACCAGCCCTGGGAGTTAGGCGAGCCTGAACTGAACAACCACGGCCAGCCCATAATACACAGCATTGCCCAGAAACTGGGATGCATCAGACCTCAGAGCGATATCGAGCTCCCCGTACATTCGGTGTTTCACGAAAACGAAGCTGGCTTTCCTGAACCGGCCCCCAACTTGAGGGACAGCAGGACGATAATGGTCAGCAGATGGAAGACAAGGATGCAGACTTCTCCGTGTGTAACCGAACCGACCAGGGGCCATTGTCGCCTCAGACCTTTACCTACAGCACCAATGACTTCGGTTTTGCCCCTCCGCTCCCCGATATTGATGCAGCGGCCAAGTGCCCTCCGCAGTCGCCCTCAATGTCCAACTTTCCCGCCTGGCTCATGACCGCCAAGTCCCAGCTCAGCAACCTGACCATGCAGTTCATGCAGCAGCCTGGCCCTTTGGGCAATGTCGACCAGTGGCACCACAGCCTCGCCGGGTGGGCAGAGATAGTATATAGTTAAGTATAAAAGGCTTCTAACTAAATAAGATAGCAAGGCGTGCCTGCGTAGTAGTGTATTGTGGGGTAAGAGTTTGAGCCTACTGGAGGATTAGTTATTAAGTTTGGCGACTTAAAGCTGAAAGAGATAGGCTAACCGCGCTTCTGCAGAAATATGAATCTGTAACTTGCATCAAGTTCGCAGGTCCTTGTATGCCTGCTTTGCGCCCGAAAAAAAGGTCTGGCCTTCCAGTTAACGGCTCTAGATGCAAGCTCCTTAGGTCGATATTAAGGCTGCAGGGTAGATTTTTTGCGTCTCCGGGTATAGCAGCAAATAACACGACTTAGCCTAGAACCAAGACTTCCTAGATATATATTTTGCTAGAAATTAATCTTAATGCACCGGTTTCTGGCAATCTCCGATACGGGTTTGTCCGTCCAGGACGCCCTACGGCCGGTGAGATGTGGGCCATTGGCGTGGGGCCGCCGAAGGATGCTGCGATTGCCTTGGCCTCGTTACTCCGGCTTCTTATCCCCGTTTGGCTCTGTAAATCCCCTTCCCCCAAGACTAGTTTTCTATAGTCTGTAATGATTTTTATCCATCTTCCCGAAAGAGAGACACGTTGACTATAAACCTCTCTATCCCTCCGCGGTCTTCCTCCAATTCTTGCCCATAATTTAATTAGGAAAAGCTTGATGCGATCAACTGGGCCACTTCGTTTCTGATGCTTCCTCAACCTCGAAGATGCCCGCTTTAGTAGCCAACGCCACCTGCTTGCTACTATCATCGGCTATTATTTTCCCGACACAAAACACTTGGCCAAGGGCAGCTTCGTCGGGCCGCAGTTAGCGTTTCGTCTCTTCTAAGATCATAGCGCAGGAACAGTACAGTACATCAACCAATGGCGGACGATATTCAATCATTTGATAGGGTCTTGAAGTCGACGATGCGTTGGCCGCGAGGCCTTCCACGTGGATCCCCACCAGTCCGCCAACGCTCTGGTCCCTAGAATTATATAGTTATAAATAGCAAAATACCTACTCTGTACGTAACCAGTCAAAGGTATCAAGAAGATCAAAGTTAAAATCAAGCTGCATTGGCATACCCCAATCGAGTGTCTCCAAGGCACCTCCGCCTGCTAAAGGAGCATTGAGATTATGATCAAGAACGCCTTGAATGACAGCCTTGCAATCGGCACAAAGATCCGCGTTAGGAGCTGGCGGCCTCACCCAGTCAAGAAACCCAACAAGAAGGCTTAATTTCTGTATAATCGTCGATCGACTCAATTTGGCACAATCCGGATGAATACCGTGAAAGGTCGGTCGCAACAGCTCCAGACAGAGGATGCCTCCCCCAGGAGCAGCGTAAGCCATTAACTAACCCGTTAGTTGGTCCCACATGACAAGTTCAAAAGACTTACCAGCCATTCAAAGTCCCTTCGGACTTCTGCAAAGCGATCCTGTTGAGTCCAAAAGATCAGCGTCAGAGTGACCATCTCAAAGCTGATTAGTAGCAGGCGGCTCTGGTCTGAATGCCCGAGGCGCAACAGTAACCTCTCCGCAAAGAAGAGGTTCTGCAGGTGCTCCAATCGAATTAAAATCCTCGTGTAGATTGTATCTACTTCAAAGTCCGGGCTGTCAGAATCTTCTGGATGGTGAATAAGACTCTGTGGGAACTTGGCCACGATTCTCTCCGCGCGGGCTTTGATCTCGCTACATGGATCAGCGGACTCGGCATATCATGATGAGACAGACATACCTGAGGCTTTCCAACGTAGCCTTTGAGCCCTCTTCAAGCGCAAATTCAAGTAGCTCATCTTTAATAACAGCAATCTGCACCCGCGCCCGAATAAGTGTTGCTGAATGCATCTCGCCATCTCTATTCCACCCATCCTCATCCAACGTCTTTCTCGCACGGCTTATAGTCGCCTGATCCGCCAGTAAATCCTCGTCTCGAATGTCCAGAGGGAGAGGAGTCGAAAAGTATCGGCGGCTGATCAGGGGCGGTCTCCCCGTGAAGGAGACCATTACCTTGTCGATGGTAAAGATGCGTGCAGCTAGGCGACGCTTGCTCTCTAAGCGAAGCGATGGCACATAATCTGCATTCTCTGACCCGACGTGCAATCCTAGAAAAGTCATCAATGAGATTGTGTCGGCATGGTAGCGCCAGCATAACAAGCCTGACTAGATCAGCGTTGAATCATGTCACCGAAGGTAAACATACCCGCATCTCCTGTAATGAGGGACTCAATGGTCGCCCTTCGGTAACAAAGATACACCAACAAGTCGTTGGCAGTAGAAAAGTGCCGGGCCAATTCGATACAATATCCGAGGCTTGTCGCGATAGTCCGGGGGTTCGCGTTAGGTGAGCCATCCCAGTAGGTCCAGATCAAGCCCAGCGATTCCCAGCGAAGGGCTGAGCAACCAAATTGGTCAAGCCAGTCCTGGCCGGTTGGGTACTCGTCCCGGAGTGGACGGGTGGTATTATTGCATATAGTGAGGCCCATCTCCTCCAGTTTCAGCGTGTCCTCTCGGTTGGCCAGATGCTCACCGAAAGACTCTTGAAGTGATCGAAGAGTTGCCTTGACAGAGGCGATGATCCAATGGTCGGCGCGGCAATGGAATCGATAGGACAAGACATCGTCAGATGGTCCTGGAAGGTTGCGGAGGACAAAGAGACACATTTCCCGAAGCGAAGAGGGCATCTCAATCAGACAAGCCCGAACTCGAGGACCACGTCTCGCGGCAGATTCAATATCGAGCGTAGATCCATGAACGAGAGACAGACTATTCCGAGTTTCCTCAAACACGGCGTTGTGGCTAGTGAAGCCAAGATATCCAAGAGCAGACGGAGACGGCGTCGATGTACCACTCCGAGTCGGGCGCTGTATTCGAGGCCCTTTGATCCTGGGCTCTGAGACTGTGTAAACACACGTTTCCTTTCTCTTCCTGCACCGCGAACAGGTGGGCTGACCGTGATCGCACGCAACTTTACGTGCTCGGCACGGATCGCAAGCCTGCGGGCGCCCATTAAGTCGACGAAGCAAAGGCGTATCATATTCCATGGCGCCATCCATCTTAGGTGAAAAGGACAGAGAAGATAGGTCTCAAGGACTTCCTCTACAATCGAAGGGTACCAGGCATTACCAGCAACAGATGCCCTAGCGGATCGGACTGATAAACCGTAGCGCACGTCCTCTTGCGCTGCCGTCAATATTACCAACTCCGGGGCCAGGAACTAGGACGACTCTAAGGATGAAATAATCTCCGGAAGTTACTGAACGAGCGTAAAACAGCCGCTAAGGCAATTAAGTTTATCGAACTGACTTAGATCCTTAGGCAATTTTAGGATTGAGACCTGAATAGATAAAGCTGAGCACTGGGGGAAGACTATAGGTATATAGTCGCGAAACAGAGGGCCTTACAGCCTGAGAGAGCCTAGAATTACGGATGCGTTAGTAGGGAACTGCTGGTCATATGGGCCTGCCAAGTAAATGTAAATAGTGGTTAGAGAGAGAAAAGCGGGAATTTTGGGGACAGCTGGTCAACGCCGTTGTGATGTTGGCGAAGTGGGGCATCCGGATTAATGCTGATCCGCGGGGCTTCGGCTGTTCGCCATACCCTGCTAATCGGGCAAAGTCGCTTAGATGACTACAACCGCGTAGGGCACAATCTAATAAAACAAAATAGGTTGATTGTGTTATTATTAGTTCTAAGTTACTTATATCCGAGAGGAGCATAGCTCCTTACATAGTACCTACATCCCAGCCACCAGCAGATCAGACCACCTTAGTCACCCAGTCTCAACAAGGCCATCATCTCTTCTTTTTCTAGAGCCTATTGGCGTCTTATAGCACTTGGTCATTTGGTTCCAGTTGAGGCACCAGTCGTAGTCGGCTTTGCTATACCGTATAGGTGGTCCTATCGCCTTCCAATACTGCTGGTTAGTCTTGATACTGACAGGCGGCTGCGCCTTATACCAAGCTTCTCTTGCTGCAGTATATCTCTGGTAGATAGCTTGTGGGTCATCATACCGCAGTGCCCGCGCTACTGCTGCCACCGGTGACTCTACTGCTGCCGGCCCCTTCGCTGTTGCCGGCAACGGTGCCGTTGTTGAAGTATCAGCTGTTGTTGGCGGAACAGCCATCGCTGCTAACGTTTCTGTTGCTGTCGGCGCCTCCATTGCTGCTCGTTGTAAAAGCTCTGCGTGACGCAGAACTTCGAGGTCATTCTATGACCCCAGCTCGGGAAAGTCTTGGGGGTGGGGTTAGGCTTAGGTATGGCGTAGAAAGAGGTTAAAAGGTAGGGCATAAATGGGCTAGAAATAGCCTAGGGAATTTAACACTCTATAAGTAGGGTCTATTAAGGCCTATAAAGGAAGGAAGGAAACATAGATAAGTAATAGGATATATATTATATATATAAGGTTATAGCATAGGGCAAAGACTATAGTATTATATTATAGGGATCTTCCTAATAAGTCTATATCTATATTTATACCTTAGGGTATAAAGTAATTAATAGCTTTAGATATTTACTTAAAGTATATATATAAAAAGGAAAACTTTTAAAGTTTTTAATCCTAAGATATAAACTATAAACTAAGAGTTTATCTTATAGGAAAGGGGGCTTATAACTCTTTACCATAAGGTATAAATTAATGCCTATTAAGTAAAGTTTTAAGTAAAGGTAATTTATCTTTATATCTTAAAATATAAAAACTTAAGTTACTAAACTATAATTAAGGTAATTTATATAATCTTTTTTATTATATACTATAATATCTTAAGATATATTATATAATATAATTATATAACTATAATAAAATACTTCTTTCTTAGAGATATAATAGGCTTTGCTTTTATATAATATATATTTATAAAGGATTCTTATAATAGATATAATATAAATATAATAAAGATAGGCTATATATAGTAATATTACTATTAGTAATTATCCTATAGTATTACTAAGGTTAGCATCTTTTATAAGGAGATAATTAGCATAATAAGAGTTAGTGTTATTTATACTCTTATTAGGCAGGTAGGCAGGGAAAGCAGGACTTATTTATAAATTTTTAAATAATAATAAGATACCCCTGTTAAAGCAGTCTATTTAGGGTTAGCCTACCCTATATATAATTACTAATATTTACATTTATATATTTATTATATATATAAAATATAAAGATATAAATAGATATATATCTCTTTGAGCGGCATAAGGCTCCGGCAGGTCACTCGCCCCACATTGCTTACTAACAACACTAGTACCTGCGGGGTACGTGAAGTTCTCGTCAGACAGCTTCTTCATTCAACACAGCCAAAATCATCAAAATCCTCATACAAATTGACCCTAACGCGTCTTAATTAAAACGATGAGCTCCCAAGAGATACCTGATTATATAGATGATCACAGCTTTGATACCCCGCCTTTGAGGGCGGCTGATGACCCCACCGGCGTGCCTAATTTTCCGCCCGAAGAGGGCTGCGGTGATGATTTTCAACCTTTCAACCTAGAATATCGTGATTTCAAGATCAACCCTCTACCCAAGGAACCACTTGAATTATTCCAGCTTTTCGTACCTATTTCCCTTGTACAGTCATGGATTAAATACACTAATAGCTAGGTCACTCACTTACTTGAAAATGGCATTATTGACAACTGGAATACCCCCCTTTCCAAACAGTCCCGCATTCTCAAGTGGGAAGGCATCTCCACCGCAACAGCTTATGTATGGCTTGGGGTCCTTATTTACCTAGGAATTCATAGGGAAATATCGATCAAAGACCATTGGAAGTCCCCTAGCCTAGGAGATCAGCGCCCTCTTCACTCAATCATCAAGTTCATGCCGTTACGGAAGTTCGAGCTGATCACGAGGTATTTCCGCACTTTTGACTACACCAAGCTCGATGTGAGGGATGAGAGCGACCTTCCAAAGACCTTCCAAGCGGCTGAAGAGTGGTCTAATCACATATAAAGCGTGTCTATCGAGCTCTATTCTCCAGGGACTAACCTCACTGTAGATGAGTGTATGATCCCTTTTACAGGCAGATCAAAAGAGATAACAGTCGTCAAGAATAAACCCACGCCCGTGGGGTTCAAAGTCTGGGTTATCGCCCAATAGGGCTTCTTTCTGCAGTGGCTTTGGCACGTGAAGGCATCACCATATAAGGCTGTTATAGTCGAGCTACCTACACCAACGCCGTACGGCAAGAAGGGAAAGCTACGGACCGAGATTCCTCTTAATAATACACAAAGCGTCGTGGTTCACCTACTAAAAAGGCTATCAACGCAGACACATCACGTCTTCACGGATAACCTCTTCTCGTCGCCGCAGCTCTTCCGCCTTCTTCGGCAGCTTGGCCACGGTGCCACAGGCACGGCACGCCCTAACTGCGGCATCACCACCGAGATGAAGCATATAAAAGAGACCGGAAAAGCTCCTGACGGCATAGCTTTGCAATATAATGAGGTATATTTGATCCCGACACAAGATAAACAGGTATAGATAGCTTTACCTGTATTTCCCTTACTAATTTGTCCTTTTCCTTTCTCCCTAGGTCATCCAAATCGCTTGGAAAGATAGCAGCATCGTGCTCTTCCTTTTAACTGTGCTTAGCGGAGCCCCTCACGAGCGCACACCAAAAAAGAGGAAAAAGCCCGCCAAAAGAGGCACAAAGGCAGAGTCACAGCGCCTGCAGCAGGTCTTTAATGGTGATAGCTTCAAGATAATCCCTATTCCTACTGTTGCCGCTCAGTATAACGATGAAATGAATCACGTTGACCGCGGCGATCAGATACGGTCTTATATAACATATCAGCACCGATTCCGGCGCGGTCCTTGGCAAGCGTTGCTTTGGTCTTTCCTCCTTGAAGTCGCACTTGCGAATAGCTTCATTTTACAGAAGAAAACACGGCAGCCTCGTTGGAAGCCCTATAGCACGCTTAAAGCTTGGAAGGAGTGCATTTATAATGCCATTTTTAACAGATATGCAACTGAAAGTCACATAAGGAAGAGAGGCCGTATAGGAATGGAAGAAGACATCGAGGATACAGAAGCACGGCAAATTCACCTACAAAGAGATATCAATCATGTCCATCGGGGCATACATTCAAGCTGCCTAGCTTGCAAAGGCTTCCGGCAGGGTCAGGCCCGACCCTTTAAAAGGAAGAAGGAAAAAGGAGGTTATCTACAGCCGATATCAGGAAATGAACGAAGGGTGCAGACCGTATATGGCTGCAAAGTATGTGATGTAGCTATTTGTAACACGGCTGACTGCTGGTACTTCTATCACACGCAAATTTAGGTGTGTGAGAATGTACTTCAAGTAGCGCTCATTTTGATAGGTCCTACACCCCTGTCGTGACCCCGCCGGAGCTTTATGCCGCCTGAAGAGATAGCTAACTTTTATAATAAAAGATTATTATTTATTTAAAGTATATAAAAGAATAATAGGGTTTAGGGGGATTAAAGTATTACTTAATATTTAACTATACCTTTTTAAAGTAATAAACCTAATTACTAATTAAGATAAAAGATAAATATATTAGCGCAGATCTTAATATATTATAAATAATAGAAAATAAAGGTAATGTATACAATAAGCGAGTTAATCAGACAAGCAAGTAGATCAGCATACTATGCACCTAATAATAGCTTACCCTATAGTATTCTAGTGCTTAAATAAATTAGCTAAAAATCTAATAAAATTACTTTCTAAAATAGTATAATTAACTATATAAGTAAGTACTTTTTAAATATTTTTAATTATTTTAATTTATTTAAAAAACCTTAAAGTATAATGTATTTTATAGTATATATAAACTTTAAGGTTTATAGCTATATAGGATTTCTTTTTAAAATATAGGGAAATTAATATAGCTTATTTTAGGACTTATATATAAGCTATTAAAACTCCTAGCTATTTTAAGCCTAATTTCGATTTTTAAATATTATTTAAAAAATCACTTTTAAGGTGAAAAGTGGGTTAATCTACTTACTTGTCTGATCCACTTGCTTATTATATATGTTAGCTTAACTAGGATAATATAATTATTTCTA